AATGCTATGCTTGGAGGCACTGCAGCCATCCTATTTGCACAAAGCCAATTCTAAGAACAAAAGCGAAACCACACAGAGAAGGATGAGAAACCCAGTGGAGAGAACCCGGATCTGCAGCGCAGTCACTCAGCTTCACCTTCCCCACCTGTACTCGCTGCCTCTGGAATTCTGTTTATGGTGGATATTACATTTCCTTTACCGCTTAAACCGGTGGAGTTGAGCTTTTGTTACTTGTAGTCCAAAACATGCATAGAACAAATAAATATAAAGAAAATAAAAAATGTTCCAGTAGCCAGAGAGAACGATGTTAGTGTGTTCCATTAGTGTAGTTTTTTCCTACGTATATTTTTAGCAAATGAGAAACCTTTTAGTGTTTGTGTTTGTGTCTACAGGTGCATATGGTTTGTTTGCAGTTTGATTTTAGTTTGTTTTCTTTTGCATTGTTGGGCATCCTATAAAAGATGATTTAATGGTTGATATTATATTTACATACCATGATTTATGTAGCCATGCTGCTGTTTCTGACATTTGTCTTTACTAATTTGGAGTTATTATATGCTTGGTGAACCACTACGTACATAAATTACATAAATATTCCTAACTAAAAAAAAAATTATGACTCTCCCTTCACCACCAGCACCCTCTGGTTGTCCCCCCATTGCCAGGAGGGTGGATCAATCTAGAATCTTCATGCTCTTGGGGACACTATGACAGTATGTCTTTTACACATTGAGAATACAAGGACTTTTTGTTTTGTTTTGTTTTGAGATGGAGTCTCTCTCTGTCACCCAGACTGGAGTATAGTGGCAAGATCTTGGCTCACTGCAACCTCCGTCTCCTGGGTTCAAGCAATTCTGTAGCTGGGGCTACAGGCATGCACCACCATGCCCAGCTAATTTTTGCATTTTTAGTACAGATGGGGTTTCACCATGTTGGCCAGATGGTCTCCATCTCTTGACCTCATGATCTGCCCACCTTGGCCTCCCAAAGAGCTGGGATTACAGGTGTGAGCCACTGCGCCCAGCCCCAGGACTTTTTTGCTTTGGTTTTGTTTTAAGACACCGTCTCGCTCTGTCACTCCAGCTGGAGTACAGTGGTGCAATCACAGCTCACTGCAGCCTTGACCTCCTGAGCGCAAAGCATCCTTCCACCTCAGCCTCCCAAGTAGCTGGGACTATAGGCATGGGCCACCACACCTGGCTGAATTTTTTATTTTTTGTAGAGACAGAGTCTCACTGTGTTGCCCAGACTAGTCTTGAACACTTGATTGAAGCAATCCTTCTACCTCGGCCTTCCAAAGTGCAGGGATTACAGGTATGAGCCACCATGCCCGGTCACTAGTACTTTCACAGTCAGTAATTCCACTGCTAGTATTTTTTTTTTTAGACCCAGTCTTGCTTTGTCACCCAGGCTGGAGTGCGATGACACGATCTTGGTTCGCTGCAGCCTCTGTCTCCCAGGTTCAAGTGACTCGTGCCTCAGCCTCCCGAAAGGCTGGGATTACAGGTGCCCACCACCACACCCAGCTAATTTTTGTGTTTTTTTTTTAGAGATGAGGTTTCACCATGTCTGGAACTCCTGACTCAAGTGATCTGCCTGCCTTGGCCTCCCAACATGCTAGGATTACAGGTGCCCCGTCCACTGCTAGGATTTTATATTGGGAAGTAATGAGATATTCACAAAGATAGATAGATAGATAGATAGATAGATAGATAGATAGATAGATGGATGGATGATATAAATAGATATCTGTAGCCGTATATACACACACAAGGTTATTTGTTGCAATATTACTTATAAAATTAGAAACTACATCCCCAAAATAGGAGGCTGGTTTCATAAATTAGGATATATTCACATGAAAGAGTACTGAAGATGATTTTTAGAAGAATACTGAATGACATGGGAAGAGCCTCACAATGTATCGCTAAGTGAAAAAGCAGATTCTAGACTAGTGTGACCGTAGCTTGCTAGCCATGTAGAGTGGACAACCCAGGCTAGTATTTTTAAGTGTGTATTTGCATATTTTTAAGATTTTTTTTTTAAACCAAATGTTAAGTGGTTGTGCTTAGGTGTTGGGAGGGCAGGTCATTTATATATTCTATATATTTACCTAATTTTTCACGATAAACACTTACTGGTTTTATAATCAAGAGTTTAAAAAGTTGCAGATAAACGCATTTGCCCTGTGCAATGGAGACGCTCCCACCCCACCTCAGCCTGGCATCAGCTGCGCTTCCCTGGCCATTTTCTTCCCACCCAAGCCTGCTCCCTTCATGGCTTCCAGATCCTTCTCCCCCATCTCAGTGCAATCTCTGGACACATCCTTTGCTCTGTCTTCAACCTCCCCTCCTGCTGCCTTCCTTGAGCCTCTCAACAGGCTCTGGGGCTCTGCCTCCCTCCCCCTCAGGCCCTCTCTGGCCAAGTCCCTGCCCCATCTTCCTCTCCAGTCATCCCTCTGGCCAGGCAACGACTTCCAGAGGGTATTATGCCAAGACCACAGGTGACCTTCCAGTTTCCAACCCCCGAGGACACTCTGGGCTCACTGTCCCCGCTCTTGCAGTTGCCAGCTGCTGACACCTCCTGGGAGTCATTGTACCCCAGTCCCCTTGTGCTGGCTTCTGCCTCTCACCCCCTTCCTCCCCGGAAGCCCCATTGAAGGCCCTCACCCCATCTGGCCGGTTCTCTAGTTTTCACTACTCACTAATGGCACCCACACTCAGCCCAGATATGTCCCCACAGCACCCCCAATTCGGCATTTCCTAAATCAGTGGAGCTGCCACCTGAGCCCCCTACTTCAGGGCATGGCGTGAGTGCCTGCAAACAGCCAAGCCAGAGTCCAGGCAGGTATGCCCACTCCTCCCACCCCGTCCTGCCCACCACCGGCCTTCGAGACTCAGGGAGGTCCTCCTAACAGTGCTCCGTGCCACTGTCCACCTTCCGCTACCATTGACGGAAATGCATTCCTTTGGTTCTCCTTTACTTGGGATCATGTTTAAATCCTGGCATTACTGGGTCCTTCTCAATTGACACCCCCCACACACAAGCATCAGGGCGCCCAGGACACCCTGCCCCTCCACACTACTGTCGCACCGGTCTTTTCAGGATGAGGAGGTAGGGGGCATCCATATTTTGTGGTGCTTTAAATCTTTCTGTAACAATGTAGCATAAATATATATATATTCTCATATATATATATGTGTGTGTGTGTATATATATATACACACACACACACACTGGATGGATAGATAGATGATAGATAGATAGATAGATAGATAGATAGATAGATAGATAGATGATAGATAGATAGATAGATAGATAATTTTTTTCCTCTTCACTTTGCTCATGGTGTTACTTCTGCTGGGAAGCCTTCCCTCTTCTGGCACCTGGCAAACCCCAACTCAGGAGTTCAAGACTGAGTTAGCCAGGAGTGTGGTGGTTCATGCCTGTAATCCTAGGACTTTGGGAGGCTAAGGCGGGAGGATCACTTGAGCTCAGTTCAAAACCAGCCTAGGCAACATAGTGAGACCTCGTCTCTATTTAAAAAGAAAAAGACTGAACGCCCACCTTGGGAAGACTTTTCTGCCTCCCCTCAGGGTGGTTACATGTCTCCTTGTCTTTGGTGTTGGGTTGAGCCATATGAATTTTTTTTTTAAACAGAGTCTTGCTCTGTTGCCCAGGTTGGAGTGCAGTGGCACAATCTCAGCCCACTGCAACCTCCACCTGGCTGGCTCAAGTGATTCTCCTGCCTCAGCCTCTTGAGTAGCTGGGACTATAGGCATACACCACCACGCCCAGCTAATTTTTGTATTTTTAGTAGAGATGGCATTTCACCATGTTGATCAAGCTGGTCTCGAACTCCTGACCTCAATTGATCTGCCTGCTTCGGCCTCCCAAAGTGCTGGGATTACAGACATGAGTCACCAAGCCTGGCCAGTCATATGAAATTGACATTCAAGCCATGTGCAGGGTCCAACCCTAGGCAGGCACGAGTTTGTCATGTGTCACACACTGAGCCCTTATTGGAGTAGGTGGCCCATGTTTCCTTGTGGAAGGGGAGGCGAGTGTTCCATTGCCTTTCAGATAACTGGAGGGCCTTCCTCGGGGATCTGTGGTCAAGGCTGACCTGATGAGCCTGTCCCAGCCAGCTGGCCCTCGCACCTGGCTGGATCTGGTGCAATGAGGCTCTCAGTGCTTGTCTGCTGGACGAGGGTGTCTCCTACAGCTTGGGTGCCGACGCTAGGCACTGCACAGGAGCTGTTCTGACACATCCTTTAGGTATTGTTGTAAGAAAGTAAGTTCTAAGCCAGTCACGGTGGCTCACGCCTATAATCCCAGCATATATAATCTTTTTGGAGGCCGAGGGGCGAGGATTGCTTGAACCCAGGAGTTTGAGACCAGTCCTGGTAACATAGAGAAAACTTGTCTCTCCAAAAATAAAAATTAGTCCAGTGCAGAGGTGCCCATCTGTAGTCCCAGCTACTCCAGAGGCTGAGATGGGAGGATCCATTGAGCCTGGGAGGTCGAGGCTGCAGCGAGCTGTGGTTGCACCACTGCACTCCAGCCTGGGTGGCAGAGTGAGAGCCTGTCTCTAAGAAAAAAAGAAGAAAGTTCTGCAGTCTTGTTCTTGGCCAACACTTGCCACAGCTGACATGACATGTTATATCTTCTCTGGATTCATCCCTTCATTCATCTGCTTCATCTTTGGAGAAAACCAGATCTGTGCCTTGTGTTGCTTGAAATGTCATGGTCCCATGTCACCCAGGGTTGTAAGACGTAATTGTATGTTAGGAATACCCCAAGCCGTGTATCACTGTTAATACACAATGGGGCTAACAGGAGCAAGGGGAGGCTACTACTTCCCAGGGTCAGCCTCCTGGCTTCTGCCAAGAACCCTTAAAAGGTGTAATATTCTTGTATTTGTAATGTCGCACCGCAGCCAGCAGTCCGCATCTCCTGGCTGGCTGTACTTAACTGCTGTTTGTCATGTTTTCCTCCAGGCTGGAAGACCATCACACACCTCTCCAGACAGCCCAACATTCCAGGAACGGCTGCCCACGGGCCCTGCCAAACACTCACGAGGCTGTCTACAGGGAGGGCAAGCCCAGCACCCCCGAGTCCCATGTTTCCTCTTCATGTAAGAACGTGGGCAGCACGCCGGGTCAGTTCTGGGACTGTGATGTCTAGAACCTACACGCAACAGCAGCAGGAGTGGCAGATGCACGCCTGCTCCTGGGAAGCCCTCTGGCCTTTGCCACAGCCCCGTGTCACAGAGGCTCATGAGCTTCCCCGCCCACAGCCAGACCATGCTAGGCTGGTCCTCAGAGCACTGCCAGCTTTTCCCGTCTGGGAGCTTCTGGGGCAAGATTTCTGACTGGTGAAAGCCAGCTTTAATGTGAAACTTTGGAGGAGGAATCCCGGGCTGATGTAGGTCTGTGACCCTGGTTCTGGTAGCTCCGATTCTGGTGGCGACAAGGCTGGCCGCCTGCTGGAAGGCTGGACCGAGGCCGAAATGTGCAACTCAGAGCACAAACAACTCTGGGATCCACACTCGTTTGAAACTTCCAGCCGATTTAACCAGAGGCCAATGGTAGATAAAAGTATTTTTTAGATGCCAGAAAAAACATATATACTTTGAATCAGAAATTTACAAAGTATTTTTTTTTTAATTTTTGAAAGGAAATTAAAAGGATTATGAGCAGTTCAGATAAGACTCTAATTTCCATTTGAGTAGAAAAACAACAGAGGAGCGGGTTGGATTCCTGTCTGAGAAACAGCTGAGAACTTGCATCTGCTCACAATTGGATGCAGACGCTGCCAGGCCCAGGTGCAGAGGGGTAGCCAGTGACGAGCCAGCAATGGCCGGGTTATTTGGGACCCTGGGTCTCTTGCTGATGAGCAGTTTCAGAGGTTTTGCCAGCATTGATCATCAGTTCTTTTACATGTGTTTTACTAGAGCAGTAAACATTAGTATGTTCTCCAAAGGTGAGCAGCTCAGTAATTTGTCCAGAGATTTCTGCTGCCGGGGTGGAGCACTTCAGGCGTCTAACAAGTTTTGCCAATTTGACTGAATGCCGTTAACACTGATTTCAACTTCTTAGGCCTGGACTTCCCAAAAGGCCCCACAGTACATTCAGGGTAACGTAGCGGTCACATCCTTGCTTTACCAAAATGACCACTAAGAGGCCCTTTATCTTTGCACTGATTGGACGTGCCTCTGGAAAGCTCTGTCATGCTGCTGTTACCTGCAGGGTGGAGGCACTTGAGGTTGGTATGGATGGAAATGACCCCGCAGGGGCTACCACAATGTTGATACTACTGTTCTCTTCCAGAACAGTTTACTTTAGCCCTGGCAAAGTCGGCCCAGGCACATTCTGGGTCCTTGGTGAACAGGGTGGGTATCCCAGGACACTCAGCCTTGGTGGACACGGGCAGTTCCCAGTGCTGCTTCCTAGGGAGGCAGTAGCCGCTCACCAGCCCCCTAGATGGACCAGCTGAAGCCAGAGCAGTGTTTTTCCCAAATCCTGCAGTCGGTGCCCCCATCAGCCTGCCCCAAACACTGAGACCGTGTTCTGAGTGTCCCTTCCTCAAGCCTGCGCCTATTGGCTCAGCCTGGCTGGGACCCAGGACACTGACCCCCAGCCCTGCCCTTCTCTACCTGCCAGAGACCAAGAACAGTCACTGCCCTCCCTGGCCCTACCAGGCCCGCCCTGAGCCTCAGACCGACACCTCTAGCCCTCCTTTATTTTATTTTGAGACAAGGTCTCACTCTGTCTCCCGGGCTGGAGTGCAGTGGCCTGTCATAGCACACTGCAGCCTCACACTCCTGTGCCTAAACGATCCTCCCGCATCAGCCTCCTCAGTAGCTGGGACTACAGATGCACCACCATGTCAGGCAAAGTGTTTTTTTATTTTTTGTAAATACAGTTTTGCTATGTTGCCTGAGCTGGTTTTGAACTCCTGGCCTCAATCCTCCCGCCTGAGCCTCCCAAAGTACTGGGATTTGGGCACGAGCCATCATGCCTGGCCCTCTTAGTCACCTTTAAAATCCTTTAGCTTGACAGAAAGTTCTTCCTTTGGAGAAACCAAGCCCCAGATTAAGTTTTCTCTGGATCACGAGTAAGCGTTTGCCATTGCCTGTAGTGGATTCCATTCTGGCTTCTGCCTTCTTTCAGACAGGCCTGCCCATGGCCTGCTGCTGTCTCCCCAGGCCTCCCTGTCCCCCCTCCCCATCCTGTCACCTGCCTCTGGCTCAGCAGATAAGGGGACTACTGTTAAGCAGAGGGATGAGTGCAGGGGGAGGGGGAATGAGCATGGGGAGAACAGGGAGCTGGCAGTGCTGGGCTGGGTGTGGGCACCCCCACTGCCTTCTGCTTCATTCCTTCCCTGCTCAGGAGCTTGGCCTGACTTCCTCCAGACAGTCCTGCTTCTCCAGCCCTCCCCTCCACTTCAATCGACTGATTTATGGTAGAGAGGGGTGTCTCTCTGTGCTGCCCAGGCTGGTCTTGAACCCCTGGGCTCAAGTGATCCTCCTACCTCAGCCTCCCAAAGTGCTGGGATTACAGGCGTGGGCCCCCTCCACTTCCCTTCTCTGGCTCACCTTGTCCTAGGACCATCCTGGCCCCAGGCCACGCTTCCCACAAGTCTCCTTGCACACAGCTCGCTGCAGACTCTGGCCTGTGCTGGGAACTAACCCCCTCACCCCCACCCAGAGACCCCATAGAAACACCCGCCTCCACATTGAGTTTCCTAAGAGCCTTTTCAATTTGCATTCAGTTGGCACTGCAGGGAAAACTTATGAGGAGGAACCTGTTGGACCCTCAAACTGCTTGAGCTGTGGAATGCAAGGCCAGAAAGTACATTTCTAGGCAAAGGACTCAGCCCCAAATGCCAAGAGGAAATAGTTCCCAAGGGAAAAAGCCAAGAATATGGCTTAGCATTTTGCAAAACACTGGCCTGAGGAAAGCTATTCTCATTTCCCCACCAACCACGACTATCTTGAATATCAATATCACATGCCTTGGGACTTCATAGGCCAGGAGTTAAAATGCCCAGAAATGGACCAGCAGGCAACAGATACTACCTTGCCACAGGGAGCCCCTGGTGCGCACCCAGGCTGCCCCAGATCTTAGCTCCTGCTCTTGAGTTGGGGCAGGGGGGTGGTCTCTTGTTCTTTTTATTTATTTTTTTGAGGTGGAGTCTCGCTCTGTCACCAGGCTAGAGTGAAGTGGCACAATCTTGGCTCACTGCAACCTCCGCCTCCTGGGTTCAAGCAATTCTCCTGCCTCAGCCTCCCGAGTAGCTGGGACTACAGGCGCGCACCACCCCATGTAGCTAATTTTTGTATTTTTAGTAGAGATGGGGTTTCACCGTGTTGGCCAGGCTGGTCTTGAACTCCTGACCTCAAGTGATCTGCCCGCTCCAGCCTCCCAAAGTGTTGGGATTACAGGCGTGAGCCATCGCGCCCAGCTTATTTATTTTTTAGATGGAGTTTTTCTCTCTCGTTCAGGCTGAAGTGCAATGGCGACATCTTGGCTCACTGCAACCGCTGCCTCTAGGGTTCAAGTGATTCCCCTGCTTCAGCTTCCTGAATAGCTGGGATTACAGGCATGTGTTACCATACCTGGCTAAGTTTTTGTATTTTTGGTAGACAGGGTTTTACCATGTTTGCCAGGTTGGTCTCGAACTCCTGACCTCAAGTGATCCTCCTGCCCCAGCCTCCCAAAGTGCTGGGATTACAGGTGTGAGCCACCACGCCCAGCCGGTCCCTTGTCCTTGGTGGGACCTCTGAAAGTCTGCAGTGCAGCCTGTGCTGGAGGAAGTGGGAGAGGAGAAAGGGACAGTTGAACCAAAACCACCTTATGGCCTTGGGAGACGCCAGCTCAGTTCCTCCTCTTTTGTGGCCACCCTGTCCCCCAACCTCACACAACCTGGGAAGCTCCTGGTCCTAGAGGGCTTGGCTGGCGTGGGCACAGCTTTGTGACACCACATGTTGTAACAGGGTTCCCCTGCGTGTAGCCCAGCAATTCTGTGTGACTCCACTCAAGTATTCTTTTGTGCACCTACTCTTTGTCTCCTGGCCCTATTCTAAGCACACTGAGCCGGTGCCAACTGTCCCAAAGCTCTAGTTCTAGACCCAGATCCAGGTGGATGTGCCCAGTGCCACCCGCTGGGTTCTGGTATCAGAAATAGATTCTCGTTTGGGTCAAAAGAGAATTATCTGGAAGTCAAAGCCCCTTGCTTCAGGGAAACCTGCAGGGAAGGTCCCTTTATATTTAAGATGAAACAGATCACATTGCAAAGTGGCAAAGGGGTTTCCAAAATGAAAGAACTGAGAGGAGCTTGGCCTAAGGGAGCCACGGACGCAGCTCTGTCACAGAGCTGCTGCAGCAGTGGCACGGACCCCTTCAGCTATAGGAGAAGAGAGGTGGGAGAAGGGGTCATGGCATCTGAGGCAGGTCCCTGGGAGGCCCCTCGGCATGCTGTCTGGGATTCTCTGTTGGCTTCCCCATGAAGGGCTCCTGCATGTCCCAGCTGTCCTGGTCCCAGGTGGGCATCAGCTATGGCACATGTCACTGGGAGTCAGGGCTACCCTGGGTACACCAAGGGGTTCATCATTAAGGAGCCTCAGGCTGCTTCGTGAGGAGCACCCTACCTCTCAGGTTGTTGGTTTTAACGAATAAAACTACATGCCACCGGGCAAGGTAGCTCACACCTGTAATCCCAGCACTTTGGGAGGCCGAAGTGGGCAGATCACGAGGTCAGGAGGTCAAGACCATCCTGGCTAACACGGTGAAAACCCGTCTCTACTAAAAATACAAAAAATTAGCTGGGCCTGGTGGCAGGTGCTTGTAGTCCCAGCTACTTGGGAGGCTGAGGCAGGAGAGTTGTTTGAACCCAGGAAGCAGAGGTTGCAGTGAGCCAAGATCAAGCCACTGCACTCCAGCCTGGTGACAGAGCAAGACTCCATCTCATATATTTGAGTTTCAGATAAGCAAATGTGCCTCCGTGTTCCATGTGGCAGCGCCTAGCCATGGCCCAGGGAGACAATTCGTTGTTCTGAGGGCTTTCCGGAGGCTGAGGGAGCCGGAGAGGCTGGAGGCAGGGTGATCTGCACGTCCCTGGGCTGTGCCCTCCAGGCCCCCCTGCCCAGCGAATTCCCAGCCTGCATGAGTAAACAAGTGCCCCAAGCCGCAGGCACCAGGAAGCCCACAGGGCCTGGCCGGGCTGCGCTTTTCTTGGCTTTACAGCCCAGTGCAGGAGAGGGCATCCTTAGAGGGGCTCCAGAGCAGATGCGGACTGAACTTTCTCTCCTCCCCAGTGGCCATCAATGCCAGGCCGGGAGAGTGGCGGCCAAGAGGATGTCAGGAAGAGCCTCGCCTGGCCCCCACGGGGATCCCCAGCCAGCCAAGGGAGGTGCCCCAGGACCCAGGCAGGGGAGAGACCACCAGGTAAGGGGGTGCACAAGGTCTTGAACCCTACTCTTGGAGTTCTTGGAGTGGGCACCCCCCGCCAGATGCAGAGCTCCTCTGAGGCCCAGCCTCTGTCAGGGGAAGCTGAGGAGCAGTGTCAGGATTCCTTGGGGAGGGCAGCCGCCGCTCCTGGCCACCCTCCGAGGGTTGTGCTGCCTGAGAGCCATCAGTCAGACTCGAAGGACATGGCACTCAGAAGCATATCCATGGGAGTAGTTTTCAGACTGCCAGGCGAACATGTCCGGGGCTATGTGATGGGGTGGCTTGGGGACAGTGTCCCATCTTAACTCTTTACATCTGGAGGAGGTGGACTGGAGGGCAGAAAGATGGAGAAGGAGGTAAGTAAATGGTCTGGCTCTGAGGTTACTTCCTGAAACAGAAACTGGGCCCCTAGGCCCAGGCATGGTGGCGCATGCCTGTAATCCCAGCATGCTGGGAGGCCAAGGTAGGAGGATTGCTTGAGCCCAGGAATTTGAAACTAGCTTGGGCAACATAGTAAGACCCTGTCTCAAAAAAAATAATAAAAGAAAAAGAAACTGGGACCCCAAGCAGAAGAAAAATTTTAAAAAAAATGGTGTTCTCTCTTCCTCTGCACCACATGCACAGACTGGCCCTGTGGGTGATCAGGGGTTCTTTAGGGTCTAGAAAGGACCTTTCCCATCTCTCCAGCTCTCCCTTTCGGACCTGGAGAAACCTGCTCAGGGAGAGGCGCCTGGCCTGGGTCTCAGACCCTCCCTGTCTGAGATCACCAGGCAGGCCAGCTGCCCCTCACCACTTCCTCCCAGCCACGAAGGAAGCCAACCTCTCGCAGTAAATAGGGGCTGGAGCAGCTTCAGCTCAGCTCTGGAGGCCCCAGGAGAGGACAGGCAGGAAGACCCAGCAGAGCCTTCACCCCACTAGCAGAGAAAATCAGAGAGACAAAGAGGCAGGAAGAGAAATAGATAGGGAGTGATAGACAGGAGGAGGCCGCCAGAGAAAGGGGGCGTGGTTGAGATGTCTGGAGCCCCGCAGTGGCTGCAGCTTCCTTGGGTGGGGATGGGCTAGAAGCCGAAATCCGAAATCCGAACTGCGAGAAGGACAGGAAGGACCTGGACTAGGGAAGGGTGGCCGGCTATCTCTAAGGGGAAGAGGGGTCAAAGGTGGCCACATTGTTGGGGGATGGGCCAAGCCACTGGTCTCCTCCAGTCCATTGCCAACCTGCCTGAGGACCCAGGGACCCTCCTCCCGTCTCTCTGTGGCTGAAGAAGAGCTTGTCTTCCAGACGAGGGGTTCTCAGGCTTTCAGCATCCCCCTGAAATACTCAAAATGAGAGACCTCTGAAGGCCAGAGCCATCTCATGCCCCCAGGCCAGATTGCATTCTCCTCTGCGGTTCAGGCAGGCCAAAACTCTCTTTCCGCTGTAGGCCACTTTTTACTTCCTGTCAATGCTGAGTTCATTTCTGAGGCTCTCCACTAGGGTCAGCCCTCTCTCCCCAGAAATAACTGTTTTCACAGTCGGTAGGCAGCCGACCCCAAGGGACCTCATTACATCCAGCAGGGTTGCCTAGCTGGCCTCCCAAGATTCTGTTGGGCACAAAGGCCCCTCAGAGTCCGGCCCAGATGTGCCCTTCCCTTGGTGTCAGTCACTGAAGCCAGCTCTTAGGTTAAGCCTGGGGATTCTGTGTGAGGAAGGAGAGGATGGAAAGAGGGAGAAGTACAAGTCGTCCCCTCTCCCCCTGCCTCACTGGCAACGTTCTCCAGAATATGATGCCATTCTAGATGAGGTGTGTGTGTATAACCTCATATGGATGTGGTCTAGAACGCCGCAATCTTCTAGATGGCAAGAGGCCATCTCTTGTTAGGCTGACTTCAGCCCTAATTCAGGTCTCAGCTAAGCATCCCTTCCTCCTCCCTGACCCCAAAATGCAGGTCACACCCTTCTTCCAGGCTCAACAGCAGCCACAGTCCCCCCACGGGGTGGAGACCCCACTGTGTTGTCATGGGGTCTGTGGCTGCTCTTGCTGCTTCAGAGACAAGCACAGTGTGCAGGGCCTGCTGGGGGTACAGGGAGTAAAGGGCATGCAGGGAGTGTGCACCGTGTGTGAGGAATACAGGAAGTGTAGGGTGTGCAGGGAGTGTGTAAGGAGTACAGAGAATGCAGGACATGCAGGGAGTGTGCACCGTGTGCAAGGAATACAGGAAGTGCAGGGTGTGCAGGGAGTGTGTAAGGAGTACGGAGAATGCAGGACATGCAGGGAGTGTGCACCGTGTGTGAGGAATACAGGAAGTGCGGGGTGTGCAGGGAGTGTGTAAGGAGTACGGAGAATGCAGGACATGCAGGGAGTGTGCACCGTGTGCGAGGAATACAGGAAGTGCAGGGTGTGCAGGGAGTGTGTAAGGAGTACAGAGAATGCAGGACATGCAGGGAGTGTGCACCGTGTGTGAGGAATACAGGAAGTGCGGGGTGTGCAGGGAGTGTGTAAGGAGTACGGAGAATGCAGGACATGCAGGGAGTGTGCACCGTGTGCGAGAAATACAGGAAGTGCGGGGTGTGCAGGGAGTGTGTAAGGAGTACGGAGAATGCAGGACATGCAGGGAGTGTGCACCGTGTGCGAGAAATACAGGAAGTGCGGGGTGTGCAGGGAGTGTGTAAGGAGTACGGAGAATGCAGGACATGCAGGGAGTGTGCACCGTGTGCGAGGAATACAGGAAGTGCGGGGTGTGCAGGGAGTGTGTAAGGAGTACGGAGAATGCAGGACATGCAGGGAGTGTGCACCGTGTGTGAGGAATACAGGAAGTGCAGGGTGTGCAGGGAGTGTGTAAGGAGTACGGAGAATGCAGGACATGCAGGGAGTGTGCACCGTGTGTGAGGAATACAGGAAGTGCGGGGTGTGCAGGGAGTGTGTAAGGAGTACGGAGAATGCAGGACATGCAGGGAGTGTGCACCGTGTGCAAGGAATACAGGAAGTGCGGGGTGTGCAGGGAGTGTGTAAGGAGTACAGAGAATGCAGGACATGCAGGGAGTGTGCACCGTGTGCAAGGCATACAGGAAGTGCGGGGTGTGCAGGGAGTGTGTAAGGAGTACGGAGAATGCAGGACATGCAGGGAGTGTGCACCGTGTGCGAGGAATACAGGAAGTGCGGGGTGTGCAGGGAGTGTGTAAGGAGTACAGAGAATGCAGGACATGCAGGGAGTGTGCACCGTGTGCTAGGCATACAGGAAGTGCGGGGTGTGCAGGGAGTGTGTAAGGAGTACAGAGAATGCAGGACATGCAGGCAGTGTGCACCGTGTGCAGGGAGTGTGCACCGTGTACAGGGCGTGTAGGGAGTGTGCACTGTGCAGGGCGAGCAGGAAGTGTGCACCGTGTGCAGGGAGTGTGCAGGGAGTACAGGGGATGCAAGGCGTGCAGGGCGAGCAGGGAATGTGCACCGTGTGCAGGGAGTATGCACCGTGTACAGGGCGTGTAAGGAGTGTGCACTGTGCAGGGCGAGCAGGAAGTGTGCACCGTGTGCAGGGAGTGCATCTTCGCTGTGCTCCTGCGCCTGGCCCAGGTGTCAGAGTACTTGTCGATGAACACGTAAGAGAAAGAGTGGTTCTCCCTGTGGCTTTGGTGGGAAATGTTTGTCCCCTCAGCTTCCCGCAGATCTGTTCTCTTGCTCTTGCAGGTGAGGTTTCACACCCAGAGGAGGAACTGGTGGATGGGCGGGAAGCCCCTGGGGCAGAGGTCTGGGTTAATGGTAGCCTGAATGGTGTTGCAGGTGTCTTAAGGATAATGGCCACTCAAGCTCTGCTCCAGTGACTTCCAGCAACTGGTCTTGCTGTAAAATTGCTTTCTCAGACGCGGGGGAATAAAAGTCCAGACCCTATAATATACTGCCTTCCCCCACCCTCCATGGTGAAATTTTCCTTTTCCTTTGTCAGCTTTTTAGACTCCTTAGCATTAAGCAGCAGGAGAAACAATGTTGGCCAGGCTTAAAGATGTTTTTATTAAGAAACAAATGCCTTTATCCTGCAAAAAGGCAAAGTGCTCCCATGAAATTGTCAGTCCAGACGGCAAAGGCTGACTTGACCCTGGAATGTGCAGGAAGGTGATGCCAGGGCTGCCTTGACTGTCATCTGGCCTTCCCTGTCACCTGTCGGTCGTCCTCAGCGTGGCCCTGCCACTCCAGAATAGCAGCCCCAGCCGGGTGCGGGGTTCTCGTGCCTGGAAGTTTGCCTTGAAGTTTGCCTCCATGTGGCCCGAGGACAGGGGAGGGAGGGAGCTCTGTCTGAGGGGATCCTCCCACCCCAGACCCAGGACAGGATAAGAAACAAATGTCAAAGATCCTGTCCGGCCACAGATGAGAGGTGATTCTTTTGCAACTACTGTGACTTTAAAATGAGAAGAGACTGTACATATGTCTACATGTATGCCTTTCCCCTTGTTTGTCCCCTGAGGATGGACAGCACCTCACAATGACACATTCATGCATCCAGCTAAAGAAACGACACATGTTCACGCCTGTAATCCTGGCACTTTGGGAGGCTGAAGCGGCAGATCACCTGAGGTCCAGGAGTTCAAGACCAGCCTGACCAACATGGTGAAACCCCCTCTCTACTAAAAATACAAAAATTAGTCAGGTGTGGTGGCACATGCCTGTAATCCCAGATACTTGGGAGGCTGAGGTAGGAAGTCACTTGAACCCGGGAGACAGAGGTTACAGTGAGTCAGGATCATGCCATTGCACTCCAGCCTGGGCAACAGAGTGAAACTCCGTCTCAAAAAAAAAAAAAGGAAACGACAGGTGAAGCCCGAGGAGCTTGAGACGCACAGCCTGATCTTTGCCCCCGGTCAGGAGCTGTGCGGGAGCTGTACGTGCAGCCTGGTTCCTCCCTCTCTTTATCTGGTATACGATGTTCCACCCCCCAGTTTCCCCACCTCCACCCCTTTCTGGATTTTCTCGTAACCCAGATGAAATGTCCGCGGCAATAATGAAGAGCCGGTTATGAACCTGCTGGGC